ACATTATATAGGTGCCAGCCGGGTCGTAAAGTCCACCAGCCTGGATCAGGAAGCCTAAGCCGTCGCCTGATGTACTACCGTAATTTGCAATTTCCTATATTTTCATAACTTAATTGTAAGTCCGCGCGGGCAGGGTCCCCTGACAGATACGTAAACACCAGCAATCACTGAGGAGTGAGGAGAGTCTGTCAGGTCGCGGGGGCATAACATTGATATTATTGTCGTTTTATTTCAATAAACGATGGTTCCAGGGGAGAAGTAATGCTAAAGCGGTTCCTCCCTCTGGCTCTCGATACCACGAAAAAATGTACCTATATAGGTATAATCAATAATAATGGATTTTAAAAAATATACAGGCCAAGAATCTTAACGTTGGCCGATCAGAACATATTGTAGAACATACTCGCCATGGCTAGTATAATAATAACAACGCTGCAGTATACCCGTCGTCTGGGAAATATTTGAATTTATCGGTGACAGCTTAGGACAATACTGTAATTTTGTGTTCAATATTTGCAATTCCGAGTTGACACATCACACATCACATTCTATACAGGGTGTAACAGAAAGAACTGACCAAAAAAAAAAAAAAAAAATGATTAATGTAATTTTTTTGTTTGTATGCCATATTTTGATCAAAACAATTTTTAAATGAAACATTTAACTTTTGTTACGGTATAATGAAATTGAAACTGTTTATAAAAATACGATAGTTTGTCCTTTTTTTTTTATAAGTATGTTTTATTTATTTCAACAGAATAAAATGTATTGATGTTTTTGGTCACGTGTACGTATATAGTAGTTTACACAACATATACATCAGTTATCATATTTTGTATGTAAAGCTGTGCAATACATTATCAGCTCTTTTAAAACGTCATGTCTACACAACATATATAATATATATTTTATAATATTTTTATTACAAACGAGGATATAACTACAATCAATGTTTTCTAAGTTATTTTTTTCATCATTATGAAATTAGTTGTTTCCCAATCGTGTTAGTGCGTGTACCTACGGTGTACGAATAATTACAAATAATACACGCTTAGTTACATCATTAACTTTTAAGCTATATAATAATAATCTAAAATTCTATAGCAAAAAAATATCTTAATCATTTGTTAATTTTGTAAGTTCTATTCCGTTAATAGTCATTTTAAGTTGTGGTATCTTGCTAATATTATGAAGACTTGCTTCGGATGTTGTCCACTACACCATGGCGTCACTGTGATTGCCCTTATAAACATTGTAAGAACTTTAAGACGTATAATTTATTAATTTGTTATGCACCTGTAGAATGTCTGAATGTGAATGCATTTAATACATGCATTTTAAAATCATAAATGCTGGTATTAGTTATTATTCACTGTCACTAATTAGTAAATATTCATAATTAGATAACGATTCTAATCACATTTTATATTAGGTAAACATAGGTACTTAGATTATGTCATATTTTTACTGTTTATTTATAGTATAGTATAGGTTAGGTCAGGAAGAAGTCCTAATAATGCAAAATTTAAAATGCTTGAACGGGGTAAGTCGGGGAGCTGTCCCGTCTGCCTCCCATGTATATATTAATTTAATACCGTCAATAAACGATGGCGGCGCCGCGGAAGCAATGCGAAAGCAGATCCCGCGGCGTCGTCGGTTAAAACAGGAAAAAAAAAAAAAAAAAAAAAAGGTATAGGCGCAGTAGGTGAGTTGATTCCCGAGACCTACTTAAGGTATTAGTTGATTCCCGGGTCATTATATATCACGGTATATTGGTAATCTCATTACCTGTAGATACCAATTTTTAATAATTACAAAATTTTTTAATAATAATTTTTTAACAAAAAATTTAATGATTTTCAAAATATGAAAAAACTAAAAAGAACAACATTTTTGAGAAACTTGTCAGCCAACCTCCTCATGGTATTTCTTGGGTTATGCTAATTGGCTGAATATTTGACTTAATATTAAAAATAAAATAATGACTAGGGAATCAACTCGTACAAACCTCTTGATGACCAGGGAACAATTCGTACGCAGCCAGTATAGGTACCTACAGGCTACAACCTAAAAATATTATTTTTTAATTTTTTAGCGTTATTTAATCTATATGATTAATGTTTATAAGAACAGTATTAATATAATCAAAACATATATACTATTATATTATTTATATGGAAATTTAAAATTAAAATTTACCTTATATAACTTAAGCCACACGATGTACAGGTTGTCTTTTAAAACATTTGCTTGTATCAATCATCCATTTAAGTGAATACACTTATTATTTCGATAAGTTTTAACTGTTTTGAAAATATTTATTTTATATAACTAAGTCATTACGAAAGATCATTTTCGAAAAAAAAAATTATATTTTTTATCCTTATTATTTTTTTATTTTGTACTTTTTTGAATGACAGTTTACATTTTTAATTTCATATTCCTAAACAGAATATTATTCAGAGTATTTCAATCCATAAAAATCAAATTCCAAACATGTATTTCGTAATTTTTTTTTGATTAAGTGTTTAAAGTTATAATTAACAGAATTTTGGCCAATATTTTGCGGAGTTTGTTTCCACAAAAATTAATTAAAATAATGATTAATTTAAAAAAATGATAAAAACAGTAAAAAATATAATTCTTTCAGAAATCGTTTTCGAAATGGCATCATAATATGATATAAGAGTATTATCATTACTATTATTTACCCAAGATATATCATTAATTGTATGTCCTTTTCTCACGTATACCTAATAACTAATAAGTAATAATTTTATTATTTTAACTGCTATTTACTTATTTGCCTAAAAGAAACCTAACCTAATAAAAATTTACCTAACAAGACTTAAACCACAGGTTGAATAATAGTTCTTTTAATACATTAATATGTATCATATGATCCATTTTAGTGAATACACTTATCACTTTGAAAAGATTTAATTGTTTTGAAAAAAATTCTTTTTCAACTGTGATTACAAAAGAAAATTTTAAGAAAAAAATAAAAAAATTACGAGGATAAAAATATTTAAAATTTAATTTTTTCAAAAATGGTTTTTTGAAATGAAATCATGTAAAAAAATTTTTTTAAAAAAAGTTGAAACTTTTGGAAATTGAATTGTATCACCCTGTATGTTAATATTATTATTATTATTATTTACCTAAGATAAATCATATTATTATGTATGTCGTTTTCTCGTATATACCTAATAATTATAGGGCCTGGCAGTATTCATGCATTTGCATGTTTTTTTTGAACCATTAGATTTATTGCTAAGTGAGCTAGAAATGCATTCCAAGACACTATGAAAAACATATCGAAAGTGTATAGTTCATATTTTTGCATATTTAGGGATTTTTAAATTTTAGAGCATATTTCTTAATTTTACAATTTTTTAGAGTATATTTTATGAAGATACAGTATATGAAAATTCGTAAATAAAAATTAAATAAATTTATATTGAGAGAACTTACTAGATATTCTTAAATCGTATTTTTCAAATTTAAATTTGACATATAAAAAAACAATATTTTTCCCCAATGTTTGATATAATATAATATTAATATATATATTTATAAATTTTAACTACAGCTAGCTATTTATCGGCTTTATCTTATTACGTCGATCGACGGGCCCGCCCGTGCAGAATCGATGTCGGCGTTTAACGGGTTTAACTTGCTCAATATAATATTTCATTACGATAAGTTATCGACTATCGTAATATAGGTAGTTATCCTTATCGCCGATAACGATTCGACGTGGAGTTGACGTGGAGTTGACGTGGAGCGGAGCTTTCGGTGTACAAAAATATGTTGGAAGATAACAGGCGGTCGTTTATATTTGAGAATTATCAAATCGATGATTGTAAATTGGTAATATTTAAAATGTATATTAATTAATGAAATAATGTTTTTAATAACTAGTGAAAGAAATTGAAATAAAAATGTTTTTTTCCTCACATTTATAAATTAAAAAAAAAATATTTAAGCATATATCAGGATTTTTTAGTGCATAAGTGCATACATATTTCGGTAGGTAGTTTTTAGTGCATATACTTCCGGGCCCTACTAATAACTAATAGTATTAATTTTATTAGTTTAACTGCTATAATATACTTATTAGTTATTTGATTAGAGTATTTATAAGGTGACGACATAATAAAACAAAATATACAACTTTTCACCTGCATCTTATGCGTGCCCATATGGCTGTATATTATACATCAATAATCCTAAAATATCCACTTTTTATTACATATTTCATATTATATTGTGCATCATATTATTGTTCATATTCATGTTAAGTGATAAAAAATAAATTTAAACAAATCATTATTCTAAAATTATTATAAGTCTAAAACAAAATAATAATTAATATTATTGTGTCATACCTATTTCAATGGGGACATCAAAATGTTTAAATGTTATCATTGAACTCTGGTCGCTGTATAATATTTATATATTTTATATCAATGTGTCAGATGCCATACGTGTTAAATAGAGGATCATATTTTAACTTACCCATACTAAAAAATAATTGTACCTATTGTATACAAATTCAATTATTGTGTATGGTCTTTTCGAAATAATTGCACTATGTACACAATGTACAAACACAAAGTATATATACATGTTGCACAAATTATGTTAAAGGTATGCATAAAATAACAAATGGCATGCCTATTGCAATAGATTCAGAGGATTATTTAAAAAAAAAAACTTGAACTTTGTGTATCTAGATTCAATGACTTAAATATTAGTATTTAGTTCATATGAGTATCAATAAAAATGTTTATACTATAGTAACAAAATTCTGTATTACTCTTACAGGTTTGGAACATTACGGAAGTGTTAAAACACATTTATCACCGCGTTGAAGAATATGAACGATTTAAGTGGATTATCAATTCAAATGGCAATACTTCGGTTTCTCCCGATGACAACAGCACCTCAGAATATGAGTCTCCTGACTACTTTTCGTATATCGAAAAATACCAATCATGAGCGGTAAGTGTTTAATACCTGTCCAATAACACATTTAAATTCAATTTCAATCCATGCATTACACGTCATGTTTAACGAAATATTGTTTTCTCTGCAAACTATTTTACAAATTGTATTCAGGACTGTACATGGACTACATATTCATAATGGCAGTCAGTTGGATCGTTTTGGAATTCATCTCGAATTGCTGTCTCAAGCAATCCACCTTCAAAGTAATACACATAATATTATTATAGTACCTACCAAACATACAATATAGAAATTCTTTCGTGTTCACTCATTATTGTTGTAGCGTGCTCCTCAAAAAATCTACCTGTGGCTAGTAATTTATTACGCGAACTTGTTGTTTATGGTATTGCATTTAGTCCATTATACAATATTGATGACGAGTCATTCAATTCTACAACACTCAATACTTTCATGGACAAAACAGCATTTTGGACATTTTTTCCTGGTATGCATAGTATATCAACAAATTGATCAAATTGTTTTTTTTTTAGAGAGATTTTAATAATAACAATAAAATGTATATTATAATTTAAAAGTATGAATACTAGTCAGTCTATTAAAATTGAAAAAAATTTAATACGGATATTATTGTATTTTAGTTTTTTTTATATTTTTCAATTTTACTAAAGAAATTATTCATTTTTTTTATTCTGAAACAGGTATAAAAATAAAATTAACATTTTCAAAATTTTGAACTAAGTACTTACACAATATTAATTTTTGAATTATTTAAGGAAGCAATTACAAATCAACATAAATTTAATAATATCACTGTAACCCTGGGAAAACCACTCAATCGCAAAATTGTCCAACATAATATTTTGGTCACTATGAAATATTAATACATTTTTATAAAAATTAAAAGTTTAAAGTCATACAATTTTATGATTTGTTAAAAATAAAATGGTTGAATGAAAAAATCTAATAAATGATCCAAATATTAAATAACTACTTCAAAATATGTGTTATAAATACCTTCTATTGTGTGTTATAATAAATATAATATTATAGATTAATATCTATAAATGTCTTAAAAAACAGAAAAGTTTATTTTAAAATTGAAATACCTCCTAAACAATATGTTTTAAACTTGTGTAATTTTTATTTGTCTTTAAATATAATCTAACAAAATGTATTATGTGTGATGTATGTATATTATTGTCAATTTTTAGGAGCAAATCAAAACATTTAGTAAAATATTTAGGTATTATTGCATTATAACGGTGTGAATTAAAACAAATTTTTGAATGATACGCTGCAATTTGTACATAATGATATTATAATATTAGTATAATTAAATTACAGAACTATTATTATACAAATAATATTATGTGTGGAATGGTATCATAATAATATTACCATTACACAATTTCTATAATTTCTATACCGTATAGTAGGTACCAATACAATCAAATAAATCCATATAAATAATATTTGGGCATAGAATTTTATACTCAATTAACCTATTTTGAAATATGCAGACTATGTTATCTGTCTTTTATCCCATTGAAACTATCATTGAAATGAAATATTCATTTATAACAATATATCATTATTTATTACTTTTAACATATGTATGTTAAATGTTTATTGATTTTGTGTTATGATTATTGTTTTAGAAATTGATATACATAGCTATTATAAGTCTGGAGATCGCTATAATCCACTCGTACTATATTTCTGAAAAAAAAAATATGCTAAATGACATCATACAACTCAAATGGAAATATGTATCACGAGGAAAAATGGTATCCAAAGGTGTCGATTATTCTTCGTCTTCAGCTTTCAATGAAAGAACATCTGGCCTAACACAAGGAGGATCTAGAATACCGCCGTACATAACCAATATCATACAGAATTAACTATGGTATCACATTCTTAACATAATTCCATGATCAACAATTAAAATTGACAAAAATGCATATTACCATGTTGCGTTTTAAAAAGAATTTATATTTATTGGTTTTAAAAATGTGTCTATTTCATTTTTTAAATTTAAATTTATAATTGATATTATTCCATATTATTATATCTCCTCAATTAATATACATAGATGATATTATATCATCTAACTATATGAAATTAAGTGCTCGATGTTCGAGTCCATCCAACTAATAATAATACATAATACATTATATCAATATGTGTATTGTTATTAAAATAATTCCAATTATAATATATCAAAACATAATTCAAAACCTTCGACTTAATGATGACTAGGTACTAGTTGATTTTACGGTTAAATTGTAACAATCACGTATTGTTTGTACTTGCATGCATTACGATTAATTAAAATATTAATTAAGTACCTATAAGCTCTATTCTACATAATATAAATATAAATACCTACCAAACTATAGGTATAGATACTGTAAAAATTGCATATTAATAACTTATTAAATAATAATATAATGCTATAAATAATGTTTGTTGTATCTAATTCAAAAATGAGTAACTGAAGACACTTGAAATGTTCACTAAATATATTTTATATTAGCATATATTAGACATTATTAATTTTTTTTAATATATTGGCTCTGTTTGTGCATACATATCAAATATTCAACTTTTTTGAATTTTTTAATCCAGGTACGATAACATTTTTGTTGGTATGTAAAAAAGCTTTATGTGTTATATCTTAATATACAAGAACTTTCATTGACTATTCTTAAAGGCAGTTAAAAAATAATAAATTTACATTGTCACCTTTTCTTTGAAAACCATTCATATTTTTACAATATTAGTCATAATAATCGTGCCTCAAAATTGTATAAATTATTTTTTAGTTAATGATTTATATAGTTTTTAATGTTAGCTACTTATACTTGAAAAATGAATACAAGTTTCTTCACAAGTTTTTTTTCTATATTAATATCATTTAACTACCTATAAACTATATTGCTATAAATTATGTTTTAATATTTACATTTCGTTTTTCAATATTTTTTATAATATACTATTACACACTGTACATTATGACAAACTCGTGTTCTATTCGTCACGGCGTTAGTTGTATTTATATTTTTAGCATAGTATTATAGTAAGTTATACACATCATAATATACAATTATAATTAATTACTAATATTAAAAATATTTGTACCTACAATAAGTACCCAAGTACTGATAGGCAGTGGATAGGAGGGAATTCCCTTGTCTGATAATAAAAACAGTCCGATGGGGTTCTATTGTCATCAATTTACTTACGGCCTGCAGAAAATGTCAGCATTTGAGAATATGCTCAATATAAATTCTATATTTAAATAGAGTAAAACCAGTTAATATATTGAATTTCAGTTAGGTATGTATTTAGTTATTTGGGTCTATATCAATGGTTGTAGGATAAATAATATGCAAGATGGAAATTGTTACGAAAAAAACATTTTCAATGTACATGAAAATTGGATCTCGAGCCAAGCGATCTTTTTTTCTGGGATTATTAACACATGTTTAGGGACTTTTTTTCCAAATCGCGGACTGGGCCTTTTCGAGCCAGTCCGGCACTGCAGCTGGGTAATCTTCTTCCGTCCTCGACATCCCTCGAGTCGTAGACGCTAACCGCACTAATCGTAGGGCAGTGCCTTGGTGAACGGTAATTTCAGAGGCAATTGCTTCTGAGATTTTTCTTAAATATAGGGGTGGGTGGTATGGTAGCCAGTGGGTTCCCTAGTAAATGTAATAATATGATATACTCAATAGGTAGTCAATAATTATCTGAAATATAATTAGTTATATTATATTAGTACATTATTATATAATATGCATTTAATAGGTAGGTACTTGGGATATTTGTAACTTGTCTCCTGAAATTTTTTAGTTAGCCACTCTACAAATCGTAGGAGCGGCTTCGGCTCTACAAATATAAACATTTTGATACTTCACAGTTGAACAAATAAAGAATTTAATAACTTTTCTATACAAAGTATATCAATGATAGCCAGTATTTAAAATATCAAAATATGAGAATTTAATATAGATTCATAGTTCATACCTACCAACCAATATTAAAAAAGGTAAAAAAAAGAAGGTTGTTAAATTGTGTATGCAATTTTAGTTTATTGGGTTGTGTAGTATTATAATACACGTCTTAGAAACCGGGAATTTAGAACGCTAAAAGTAAAATTTCCCAGTAGTTTTCAAAAACACCGAGAAAGACAAAAACAAATTAAGGGAAACTGGAATTTTATAGTCAAAATTGGTTTTCAACAAAAAGCATGAAAATGAAATACAATGGTTCTGATGTATTATTACAATATCAGTTGAAAAATATTAAAAATACATAGGCACAATTTTTTTGTTATACGCTTTTAAACTTTAAAGTTCGAATTTTTACAACAGTTACACATCAAATTGTAAATTTAAAAATGATTTTGTAGTTAAAAGTTTATAAAATGTTCATTTTGGATTCTGAGCGGAGCGATGAATGTATTGATTTTACAATGATGTGTGTTTTTTTTGTGTGTCTGTACACGATAAGTAGTCAAAATAATGCTTCGATTTTCAACTTTAGTATCTTGTTCGATGGGAAAGTGAATATTGTTGGTACATTGGGGAGGTTAAAATTTAAAATTCCCAATAGTTTTTAAAAGCGCCGAAAGAAACAACAAAAAATTAAGGAAAATGGGAACTTTTACCCAAAATCGGTTTTCCACAAAATCGATTTTGGTTTTTGGTATTACTCTAAAAAAATTAATGTATATACATGAAATTTTCACTGGTCGTTTATATTTCCATTTTCTATACACGATAAAATTTTCAAAATATTTGGATTTGTTTAGAACTGTTTAGGATCATTTTTTGTTTCCAATTTTATTAGTCATTTTTTCTACGAATATCAAAAAAACTTTATTTGTTGGGTAAAAAAGCTTGAAAATTAATACAAGGATCCTACTATATTATTACAAAAATTTTACTGAATGTTTATATTTTCATTAAATATATAAATTACTTCATAGTTTATTCACAATAATATCATCAAGTATACTTTGTAATATTATATAGTTTTCGCTCAGAATCGTTTTTCTATACAATGATATTATATCATTGAATTCAAATTTAACACCATCCATTACAGTGACCCACTTGTAAACTTGCTACCTACTGCACAGCAGAGTGACATCCACTTACCCACTTTTTTATAGCTGAATATTGAAAATTTAAAACAATGTACAACGTAAGTAAGTTATTCTATAACCAAAAAATATTAAAAATATAAAAACACATTTTTTTTTCATAGTTATTTTATGTTCAAATTTAGACGAAATTACATAGGTACTAAGTAACTTAAAGTAGTTTATACCTATAGTTTTAGATACATATTAATTTTTTTTTTTTTTAAACACAAGCTTAAACTGACGACAAAGAATAAAAATTGTAATGTTATAACTTCACTCGAGGCAAAGCAAAGAAAATATTATGGAAGTTTTAGAATTCAATATTTTTAAAGATGATAGAATGAACTAACTTACTATAATATTGTAAAAATCCGGTAGTACCCTAACCCGAAAAAAAAATTCTGGCTACTGCACTGTTGTCTGGTATTATTTTTTTTCTATTGCCTCTATTATACGTAATTTATCAGGTTGTTTTACCAATCTTGTTATTCATTAGCGCCTCATCGAATCACACATTTTTATAAATATAAAAAGTAAAATTTTTTTCTAAATTTAATATTATATCTGTTACAAAACTTCAATAAAATATAGTTTTATTATTTTGTACACCACCCCACCTCACAGCATTCCGCGTACCACCAGGCATCAGTGGTAAGCATACCACAGTTTGAGAATCACTGGTTTGTTTGGACCATACCCTAACATAACCATCACTTATCATGTTTTGTATTTCTAGCTGTGCAATGCATTATCAGCTAGTCTAAAACTTCATGTTTACACAATATATATATTTTATAATATTTTTATCATAAACGAGTTTGCAGTAGGTAAGACAGTGTATAACTATAATTCTTTCGGTTATTTTTTTCATCATTGTTAAATATCAGTTGTTTCCCAATCGTGTTAGTGCGTGTACCTACGGTGTACGAATAATTACAAATAATACACGCTTAGTTACATCATTAACTTTTAAGCTATATAATAATAATCTAAAATTCTATAACAAAAAAATATCTTAATCATTTATTAATTTTGTAAGTTCTTTTCCGTTAATAATCATTTTAAGTTGTGGTATTCTATTCATATTATGAAGACTTGCTTCGGGTGTTGTCCACTACATCATGGCGTCACTGCGATTTCCTTTCTAAACATTGTAAGAACTTTAAAACATACACCTAATTAATTTGTTATGAGTCTGTAGAATGTGAATACATCTAATACATGCATTTTAATGTCATAAATGCTGATATTATTTATTATTCACTGTTTGTATTAATGTTTTTTAGAACTGTACAAGTATAAACTAAGAATATATTATATTATAATGTGATTTGTATGTAAATTTAAAATTAAAATGTACCTTACATAGTTACATATAACTTAAACCTCAGGTTTTTTGATTATAAGGGCTTAAAGTTTTAATTAGCAGAATTGTAGCCAATATTTCGAGGCTTCAGTTTCCACAAAAATTAATTTAAATGATGATTAATTAAAAATGATGATAAAAAACAGTAAAAAATATAATTCTTTCGGAAATGTTTTTTTAAATGAAATCATATTATGTAAACAACATTTTTCAAAAAAATTACAAATTTTGGAAACAATGAGTGTATACACTTAATTATTGTATCCTCGTGTATAATAATATCATCATTACTATTATTTACCCAAAATAAATCATTTATTGTATGTCCTTTTCTCGCATATACCTAATAATTAATAACTAATAAGTAATAATATTAATTTTATTAATTCAACTGCTATAATTATACTTATTTGATTAGAGTATTTACAAGCTGATGACATAATAAAACAAAATAATATACAACTTTGTACCAGCATCTCGCGTGTCCGTATGGCTGTATCTTATATCAATAATCCTAAAAATAACCAAGTTTTTTTACATATTACATAATACTTATATAAGTATATAACGTGCATCATATTATTGTTCATATTCATGGTAAGTGATAAAAAATGAATTTTAAAATAAATTTAAACATTATTCATTTCTAACAAAATAAATCTAAAACAAAATTATAAATATTATTTTGTCATACATATTTCAGTGGAGACATCAAAATGTTTAAATTGTATCATTGAATGCTGCAGGTGCCTGTATAATATCTATATATTTTATTTCAATGTAGCAGATACCATGAGTGGTAAATAGAGGATCATTTATCCATACTAAATTATAAATGTACCTCTTGTATAAAATTATTGTGAGGTAAGACCTTTCCGAAATAATTCTACTATGTACAAACAGAAAGTATATATACATGTTGTACAAATTATATTATAGTTATGCATATAATATAATAATCAAATAGCAATATATGCAAAGGATTATTTAATAAAAAAAACCTTAAATTTTGTATATCTAGATTTAATGATTTACCTAATAGTGTTTAGTTCAAATCTAATATCAATAAAATGTAATATTTTTGGTGAATTATAATTTATTTCATAATCCTTTGGAATAAGATTTCAATGAGTTAAGCAATTATTTAAAAACCTGAGAGATATTAATAATATACATAAATATATAGGTATAACTACGCGTAAATTCAACAGTTACCTCATTCGTTAAGTATGCAAATTTACGTATATATTTTTATTGATATATTATTTATTTTACAGTTACCAAATTGTTCATTACTATTACAGGTTTGGAATATTACGGAAGCGTTAAAACACATTTATCGCCGTGTTGAAGAGTATCACCGATTTAAGTATATTAACATTTCAAATGGCAGTACTTCGGTTTCTTCCGATGACAATGATAGCACTAAAGAATATGATCCTGACTACTGGTCAGATGTCGAAAGAAAAATACCTATCATGAGCGGTAAGTGTTTAATATCTGTCCAATAACATATTTAAATTCAATTTTAATCCATGCTTTACACGTCATATTTAACAAAAATTGTCTTCTCTGCTAACTATTTTGCAAATTGAATTCAGAAATATACATGGACTACATATTCATAATGGCAGTCAGTTGGATCGTTTTGGAATTCATCTCGAATTGCTGTCTCAAGCAATCCACCTTCAAAGTAATATATATAATACTATTATAGTACCTGCAGTGGCGTCATTTCAGTTTTTAATGGACTAGGGCAACTTTTCATTGCTTTTCCAACTCAACATTTTTTCACTCAGATTCTCATAGTATAGTGCCGTAGTGACTAGTGATTAAGGGGAGTGGGGAGGGGTTTGTGGTAAATGTTCTGACTTGAAGGTTGATGTAAATACAAGACTGGGGCAAATGCCCCTGTTTCCTCCCCCCAAATGACGCCACTGAGTACCTGCCTATGACAAATATTATAATATAGTAATTATTTTGTGTTCGCTTATTATTGTTGTAGCGTGCTCCTCAAAAAATCTACCTGTGGCTAGTAGTTTATTACTCGAATTTGTTGTTTATGGTATTGCATTTGGTCCACTATATAATATTGATGTTGAGACATTCAGTTCTTGCAAATGCAGTATTCCCAATAAGGATGAACCGACATTTTAATAGTTTTTTCGTGGTATGCATATTTTATCAACAATAATTGATCAAACTGGTCATAATAATTCAGAGATTTTAATAATAACAATAAAATTGTAAAAAATTAACACGGATATTATTGTATTTTAATTTTTTACATTTCCCAATTTTACTAAAGAAATTATTCATTTTTTTATACTGAAATAGCTATAAAAATGTAATTTATTATTATATATAAATTAAAAATGTTCGCGTCCGTCCAGTGACGAGACATATTATTGTACAACCGAACATCATTGTCGGAGACGTGCCGTCGACATTGTGTCACCGACTGTGGGACGTTATTATATTCATTCGGGGGGACCGTGGAGCATGTGCCAAAACAGTATTATTGTTATTTAATTATCATTATTGTTACTGTTTGAACTCAGCCGAAGAGACTGCTTCTCTGGCCACTTATTATTATCCGTAGGACTAATTCGTGTCAATATTTCATATTATCATTTATCACTGTACTATATCCCTTAGTTTATTATTATTTCTCTCCCGTCACCCTACTCACATACAACACTGTGAACACCAATTTGTTTATATAATCGTAGTTTGGCCAAATTCTAGTAAATAGCCGGCAACGCAACACCTTATATAAATTAAAAGAACTTCCGATGTGTTAAAAATAAAATGGTTGAATGGAAAAAGCGAGTAACTAAAATGTCGTATTATGTGAACATTAAATAACTACCATCAATGTGTTATAACTTCTATAATTAAAATACCTTCTATTGTGTATTATAATAAATATAATATTATTGGTACATACTTGTCTATAAATGTCTTAAAATCATTTTTAACACAATTTTAAACGAATTGATTGATTTTCGGTTTAATTTTTTATTTAGTAATAAAAATTTTCCGGCACAGTGACGAATAATTTTATTCCATTGAAATGAAATATTAATTTATTACTTTTGGCGTACCTATGTATGTTAAATGTTTATTGATTTTGTGTTATGATTATTGTTTTAGAAACTGATATACATAGCTATTATAAGTCTTGAGATCGCTATAATCCACTCGTACTATATTTCTGAAAAAAAAAATATGCTAAATGACATCATACAACTCAAATGGAAATGCGTATCACGAGGAGAAGTGGTATCCAAAGGTGTCGATTATTCTTCGTCGTCAGCTTTCAATGAAAGAACATCTGGCCAAACCCAAGAAGGATCTAGAATACCGCCGTACATAACCAATATCATACAGAATTAACTATACTATCAAGTCTTCAACATAACACCATGCTCAACAATTAAAATTGACAAAAATGCATATTATTATGTTGCATCTTAAAAAGAATTTAAATTTATTGGTTTTAAAAATTTGTCAATTTCATTTTTTTAAATGTAAATTTGAAAATTGATATTATTCCATATTATTATAAATCCTCAATTAAATACGATGATAGTAGGTGTATAATAACTATCTTACTATATTAAATTAAGTACTCGAGTTTCGAGTCCATCCAACTATCCAAATATGTTTTTATTATCCTAATATTTAACCTAACCAAAAATCCTTATTCTTCATTATACATCATATCAATATGTGCATTTTTATTTAAATAATTATAATTATAATATATCAAAAAATAATTCCAAACCACCCGCTATAACGATAACTAGATACTAGTTGATTTTACGGTTTGATTGATTGTAACAATCACGTATTGTTTGTACTTGCATGCATTAAGATTTATTAAAATATTAAATAAGTACCTATATATAATATATATAAGCTTTTGGTTTGGGAGAATAAAAGTTTGCAGAAAATGAAGCGTTAAAAGCTTCTACAAGTAATTGGTCCGATCGTCGTTGGCCGTCGTAATTCTCTGCTCGTACTGGGTCGAGTTCCTTCACTTCAATACCTTTTTGGCTGTCTGTTGATGTTCAGTTGTTGTCTTGTTGATGGCTTGAAGTGTTAAAGAAGAGTCACCTTGCTTTGTTTTGCTTGTATGACTGCATCGAAGGGGCACGTTTACTATACCATGCGTTTTGCCTAGGTTAGTGGTTTGAATTTTTGACATGATGAACAAATAAAATGTTATTGATATTTATAGAAAAAAAAAATTAAAAAATGCGGGTAAGTGAATGTCACTCTGCTGTACAGTAGGTTACAAGTGGGTCATTGTATAATGGATTGTATAAAACTTGAATTAAATAATATAATATCAATGTATAAGTAAAACTATTCTGAGCGGAGACGGTTTGTCATTCTGGATATTTTTTATTGCTATTAATTATTATATCAAGTAAGTTGAATTAATAATATAATTTTTTTATTCGTTTCTATGGTGATAAACAAAGTGTTGGAAATTAAAATCCTATTTTTAGCGTTTTTTTGTAATTTGTCGGGGATTTTTCCCTTTAACTAATTTAATAATTATTGAGAAAATCGACCTCTCTTAAGTACCATCTTGATACAATTTGATAAAATAAGAGATACTATATGTTGAAATCGAAGCACACTATGTCCGTAAACAGCTCAAAACAAATCAACTTTTTTTGAAAATTTTATCGTGTATAGAAAATGTGTATAAACAACCAGTGAACATTTCATTTATTTGCGGTAATTCGTTTTAGAGTTAAAATTTACCGTTTTTCCTTAATTTTTATTTTGTTTATCCCTGCTCTTTTGAAAGCTATTGAGAATGAACCAATGCAACGAGATTCACTTTCCCATCGAACTAGATACTATTGAAGCGAATCGAAGCAGTTTAACGGTCCCAAACAGTGATCACAAACACAAACATTTTTTTAAAAGAACACACATCATTGTAAAATACATTCATCACTCATTCACTAGGCTCAGAATCTAAAAGGTAGAAAAATTAAACTTCATAAATGTTGGCACCTGTATTATAAGACTTAAATGGCTCCACTTAAACGTCAGTTGTTTGTTTTGGAAACAACTTGTAGAACTATGCCTCTATTGGAAGGCTTTGAGCTTAAATAAATCACATAATTATTGTTGGATTGCTAATGAAAATTATATACAGTTGAGTACATTTTACGGTGATTACATAGGTTCAAATTATGCCTCCTAATATAATACAATTAATGATAGGTAGGTATGACCATAGTTTAGTCGTTTAGACAATAAAGGCTAATGTTACATGAAAAATTAATTAATTTAACGGACCAATATCATGGGTCACTAAATTATGTTTAAGGACTATTTTTATCATTAGCTCATTATTGATTTAATAAATGTTTAATGATTGTTTATACAACCCAGCACTAGTGTATACTATTATTATTATTATTATTATTATTATATTATCGCTTTACCGCTTTTATAAACAACAAACATTAAAACAAATTACAATCAACAAATTATATTTTAGACAACGATTCTGAAAAAAATTAACCAAATTAATATTATTTTAATTAGGTACTAATATTTTGTGTATATAAATTGTAATACTTGGTTTATGTTATAATCATTATAATATCAATAATGTTTTATCTTTGTGTATTTTCATTCAAAATAATATGTAAGCTTATAATAATATAATTAAAGCGTTTCCTTTGATAACCTAAATTATGTACTAGTAATGTGTACTTTGTACAACGCGACGTTGTTAAAGTAAAACTCAATGTAACGGGACGTTTAGATCAGAGATGCTCAAACTTTTTTTTGCGCATACCACTCATGTGGTACCATGTACCATAAATTACTAAAAATAGAACTCTTCAACATTTCAATACATTTTTAAAAAATATAATGTTTAAAATAATAATTTAGGTACGTTTTTAATAGTATATATTTTAAGTACCTATTTCCACAAAACATAAAATAATATTAGATCTGTTACAAAACTTCAGTAAAAATATTAATTTATTATTTTGCAAACTACCCCACCACACGGCATTCCGCGTACCAACGAGTAGCCTTCTGCAGAGTACCACCAGGCACCAGTGGTACGCATACCACAGTTTGAGAACCGCTGATTTGTTTAAATTATAAACTAACATAACCATCACTTATCATGTTTTGTATTTATAGCTGTGCAATACATTATCAGCTCTTTTAAAACGCCATGTCTTCACAATATATATATTTTATAATATTTTTATCACAAACAAATTTTCAGTACGACAGTGTATAACTACATTGAGTTTTTTTTCACCATTATTAAATTAGTTGTTTTCCAATCGTGTTGGTTCGTGTACCTACGGTATACCAATTATTACAAATAACACCCGTGTATAGTAGGTACCGCCTTTAACTTTTATGCTATTGCTATATAATAATAATCTATAATTCTATAAGATAAAAAAAAATCTTAATGATTTTCTAATTTGTAAATTCTTTTCCGTTAATAATCATTTTAAGTTGTAGTTTTTTATTAATATCATGAAGACTTGTTTCGGATGCTGTCCACTACATCATGGCGTCAGTACGATTGCCATTATAAACATTGTAAGAACTTTAAGACAAATAATTAATTTGTTATGTGCCTGTAGAATGTGAATACATTTAATACATGCATTTTAATGATATAAATAATGGTATTAGTTATTATTCACTGTCACTCATTAGTTAAAATTCTTATATTGATAACGATTCTAATCGCATTTTATATTAGGTACTGTATTATATCACATTTTTATTTTTCATGTTTTTACGTTTTATTTATTATGTTATAGTATAGGTACCTAACTACTAATATTATTTTTAAATTTTTAAAGGTTATTTAATCTATGATTAATGTTTATAAGAATTTTATTAATATAATCAAAAAATATATATTATTATATTATTATTCAGGAAAAAAGATATAACAGTTTACATAACATGACTTAAACCACAGGTTGAATAATAGTTATTTTAAAACATGCGTATGTATCAGATGATCCATTTAAGTGAACACTTATATTACTTAGAAAATTTTGAACTATTTGAAAATATTTCTTTTGCATAAATAAGTCATTAAAAAAGTAAAGTTTCAGAAAAAATTATATTTTTATCGTAATGAATTATTAAAAAATGATGAAGATAAAAAATAGTAAGAATATAATTTTTTCATAAATTTAATATTTTTGATGAAATATAATTTCTGTCATAAGGCTTCAGAAAAATATTTCAATGAGCTAAGATATTATTTAAAAACCAAATAGATATTAATAATATACATAGGTATATAGGTACTATATAGGTATAACTTCACGTAAATTCAACACTTACTTCACCCGTTAAGTATATAAACATTTACGTATACATTTTTATTTATATATTATTTATTTTATAGTAACCAAATTCTTCATTACTATTACAGTTTTGGAACATTATAGAAGCGTTTAAACACTTTCATCACCGTATTGAAGAATATGAACTATTTAAATTTATTAATATTTCAAAAAGCAATACTTCGGTTTCTACTTTCTATTCTACCGATGACAATGGCACTGCAGAAAATGAGCCTCATGACTACTGGTCGGATGTCGAAACAATACCTGTCATGAGTGGTAAACATTTAATACCTGACCAATAACATATTTTCAATTTTAATCCAGGGGCGTCATTTGGGGGATTCAGACTATACATTGGCAGCCCTATTTTTTTAAATGTTTGGTTGGCCCGTATAAAATGTTATAATTGCGCCATCAAAATGTAAGATGCAAACGCGCTGTAATGGTGCGAGTTTTTCATAAGAACCTATTGTCCTATTGAAATTGCCAAGTTGATAATACTTTAAATTATATATATTTCTTTTATTTATTTAATAATTAGGTAGTTCATACATTTTTTAAATATTTATATATTTTGTAATAACTAGTCTATAAGCTTTGAATGTATGGCTTTAATTTTACGCTTGCTAACAATTTCAGATTTGTACAACAATTAGAAACTCGCTTTTCTGAGAAAAACCAAGAATTATTTAAGATATTTCAGATTTTCGACTATACAAGCTTATATTATTTCAATCCAAAGTGTCCATCTTTAGAGTTCTTCATAGATCATTATAAATATTTTGAAATTAATAAAATAAAAGTCAAATCAGAATTTTCATCTGCTAAAGCTTTGCTTGAACATAAACATATTTTAAGACCGGACTTAGAAATGATTGTAGATGTTCTCATTGAACTTCCTAGTTCATTTTCAGAAACTATAAAACTAATGCATATCATTAAAACTCTTCCAATATCTACAGCATCTAATGAACGCTTTTTTTCTTCTATGAAAAATGTAAAATCTTATATACGTACTTCTATGGGTGACGAGCGACTCAGTGATCTCATGATAATAAACGTTGAAAAGGACGAGGCCAATAAAATAGATTTAAATAAAGCTGTGGATGATTTTGGGAAAATGAAGAATAGGAGATATCCACTTTTTTAATAACTTTTAGTACTTTTACTGTTATACCTATTTACTTAGTTAAAGTACATAATTAGTTTTTGTATTTCTTTTTATGTTATTGTTTAATACAAATAATATTAAATATATCTTTTTTTATTTATATGAAATTGGTTGAATATGTTTGAAAAAAAAGTATTAATGAGTATTTTGAATATTAAAATGTGGGGGTATGAGTGAGCGAAGCGATCGGAAATTTTTTTAAGTTCCGCTAAATAAACATGAAATATAAATGGCCTGGTGGAGGGAACAATTGGCCTGATTCAAATGTTTGCATCCCTATTGAAAAGTTGAAATGACGCCCCTGTTTTAATCCATGCTTTACACGTCATATTTAACAAAATATTGTCATCTCGACTCATTATTATGCGTATTGGATTCAGGAATATATATGGACTACGTGTTCATAATTGCAGTCAGTTGGGTCGTTTTGGAATTCATCTCGAATTGCTGTCTCAAGCAATCCACCTTCAAAGTAATACTCATAATATTATTAATAATAATGTATAGTAATTTATTATAGTAACTACCAAACATACAATATAATATTAAAGCGTACCTACAATATAGTAATTCTTTCGTGTTCACTCATTATTGTTGTAGCGTGCTCCTCAAAAAATCTACCTGTGGCTAGTAATTTATTACGCGAATTTGTTGTTTATGGTATTGCATTTGGTCCACCATACAATATCGATGATGAGGCATTCAATTCTAGTATATTCATTATCTTTAATATTGGATCAAGAATTTGGACACTTTTTCATGGTATGTAGGTATTTGAGATATTTCAACAAATTGTTCAAATTGGTCATAATAATTTAGAGACTTCAATAATAAAAAGGTGCTCTGCTGTACAGTAGGTTACAAGTGGGTCACTGTATAATGGATAGTATTAAATTTGAATTCAATGATATAATATCATTGTATAAGAAAAACGATTCTGAGGGGAGACGGTAGTCAGTCTAGGTATAAGACATATTATATACATATCTATGATATTAAACAAAAAATTGACCTACAATAGGTACCTATAATAAATTCCAAATTAATCATATTACAATAGGTATCCATTAGGTACTTATAATGCGTTATACGCCAACAACAAACCCTGATACTATCATAGTCCATTCTCCATAGATATTCTCCATCAGAAAAGATAATGTTGAAGAAAATCCAAGCACTTTTACTGTCCTAAAACGTGATGACAGACACAAAAAAAAACACACATCATTGTAAAATCAATACATTCATCGTTCCACTCAGAATCTAAAAAACACACATCTTTGTAAAATCAATACATTCATCGTCTCACTCAGAATCTAAAATAAAATCAATGTTATAAGTATGTATAAAATTGAAAATAATTGATACGGTAATTATTGTAATATGTTTTAATTTTTTATATTTTCCAATTTTACTAAGGAAATTATTCATTTTTTTTTCTGAAAAATCTATGAAAAAATATAACATTTTCAAACTTTGGTGCCAAGTACTAACACAATATTTATTTGTGATTTTTTTTTTTTATTGATCATGAAGCCTGGTAACTAAAGCCATTAGCTGTTTAGTTTTTGGTTTGTAGGGGAGAAATTGTAAGTTTGTAAACACGTGTGTTTTTGGTTTGGCAGATTATTTTTGCCCACCAGTAGGTATCTGCCATGCCAGGTGGAGGATGGCTGCACTTCTCTCCGGACACCGTGACTTGCCCGAAGAAAAATGCCACCCGCGGCCGGGTTCGAACCGGCTTCGGTGTGCGTCGCAACCGACGTCTTAGTCCGCTCAGCCACTCCGTGCCCCTTATTAGTGAATTATTTAAAGCTGCAACTGAAAATCAACATTAATTTAATAATAGTACTATCATATAAGTTCAAAAAATTAATATTAAGGCATAGAATTGTATACTCATTTACCCTGTTTTTAAATATCCAGACGCTGTTATGCCTATTGGTGCTAAAAAATTTTCCAGCATAGTAACGAATATTTATTCTATCCCATTGGAACTCTCATTGAAATGAAATATTAATTTATTACAATATAAAAGGATTTACTACTTTAAACGTACCTATGCATGTTTAACATTAATTGATTTTGTGTTATATTTTTGTTTTAGAAATTGATATACATAGCTATTATAAGTTTTGAGATTGGTATAATCCACTCGTACTATATTTCTGAAAAAAAAAATATGCTAAATGACATCATACAACTCAAATGGAAATATGTATCACGAGGAAAAATGGTATCCAAAGGTGTCGATTATTCTTCGTCTTCAGCTTTTAATGAAAGAACATCTGGCCAAACCCAAGAAGGATCTAGAATACCGCCGTACATAACCAATATCGTACAGAATTAACTATGGTATCACATTCTTAACATAATTCCATGATCAACAATTAAAATTGACAAAAATGCATATTATCATGTTGCTTTTTAATAAGAATTTATATTTAGGTATATTATTAAAGTTACTATAAAAATTGCATATTAATAACTTATTCAATTATATTACTATAAAGAGTCTATGTTGTATCTATTGTTGTATCAAAAATGAATAACTGAAATGTTCACTAAATATTTATATTATACATAATATAGTTTTTTTAATATATTAGCTCTGTTTGTGCATACATTTCAAATGTTCAACTTTTATGATTTTTTTTCTTTAGGTACGATAACATTTTTGTTAGTATGTAAAAAAGCTTTTTCTTTTAATACAAGAGTCTTCATGATTATTTATAAAGGCAGAAAAAAATAATAAGTTTACATTACCACCTCTTCTTTTAGAAACATTTATATTTTTACAATATTCGTCATAATAATAATGCCACGAAAGTGTATAGATTATTTTTTACTTAATAGTGCATATATATATTACTTGAAAAATTAATATAAGTTTCTTCACAGGTTTTATTTTAATATATTAATATTTAATTTATGATTAATAATTAATTGTAGTTATGTAATACAATATAATATTGGTACTAATATGGCACCTACTACAATCGCTGTTTTTTATCTAAATAATTCACATCAAGACTAAGGTACAACATGCATGTTAACATAGAACTGATTCAACAAATGAACATGTTATTTATTTTGAAAACATTGATATCGTACCAATAATAAATTTAACTAGTGTCTAGTGGCCAGTCGGTAGGTGTAGGTCGTTGGATTATCATCTATATAGAGATAGGAAATAAAAACAAAATAAAATAACAATATTATTTCATTAATTTTTATAACGATTGTTAATTTATAGTCAAAAATTACATTTAAAAAATAATCAATCCACAACATAGTATGGTTCTATAAACCATGTATTAATACTTACACTTCGTTTTTGTATATTTATTATTTAATAATATATTATTACACAGTGATTATCATGCCAAAATCGTGTTTTGGGTGTTGTTCTATTCGTCATGGCGTTAGTTGTATTTACATTTTTAACATAGTAAGTAATATACATTTTAATAAATAATTGAAAGCTAATATAACAAAATATTTGTACCTACAAGAAGTACCTATAAGCACATACTACACGATTATTTTTCATTTATTTTCTTTACTCGTTTAAATCTTATTTAGTATAGTTGTGATGTATAATAACAATTATTAATATACATTATGCCGTATATGAAACTATAGTTGAATTAGAATTCTATATTAGCCATTAAGGAAAAAAGTGTATAGTACCATAAGTACTAAGTAGGTTCTGATAATGAATAGGACGTAATAAGAAAAAAATTATACAGCATTTAATACAATATGTACATGCAGTTCAGAACCTTGGTTATTTAATTGAAATTAAAAACTAATTCGAAATTTATATTTTTTAAATCATTTTTATATTTTATTTGATAATAGATTACAAAGCTTGCGCTAATGGGTAGTTCTAAATTAAAATGGGCAATTCTAAAAACCAATTTGGTCAGTACCAAAAATCGTGCATTTTCTGTATTATTGGCATATATAATATTGTTTAATTTAATTATGTATTTTATAATCATAGTCATAAATCCCATCATAAGTTTGTTACACAAAATAGATGTCTTGTAGCAGTTAAACAAGAAATTGTATGTTCTCTTCAAGAATTTTGAACACAAAGATTTTCTATTGATAAAAATTTACTGTCAATTTTAAAACCATTTGTTGTACTATCTTCTGTAGCATGCATCAAATATATTCATAATTTAATGGCGCAGACATATAGATTTAAAAGAATTTTCATTGGAGTATGATGCATTGATATCAATGGAAAATATATCTGAATTACGAAAAATGAACCTTATTAAACTAGTAAAAACATTATGTGGCTCAAAACATTTTCCAAATATTTGTACAATGTTGGATAAAGTGGCAGCTGCTAAACCTCATAGTGCTGATGTTGAACGTTTGATAAGTGCCAGCAACTTATTAAAATCACCATTACGCTCAAATATGAATATTAAGACAGAAAACTTAAGCTTATATATAAATTATATAATGCCACCATTATAAGGTTGGGATCCTAGGGACACCGTTTACCATTGGATGTCTAAAAAGAAACATCGAGTCCTTAAAAGAAGAAAAGGAAAAGAACAAAGTAATTTTGGTGGAGTTTTCTTTGAAGCATCAGGTAAAAACAAAATAATCGGTAGTGACGATAGTGGCGAAGACACTGAAGATAAAAAAAAATTTTTTTTAATAAATTGTAATAAATAAAGTAATGTATCAAGTGTTTACATGTGTAGTCAATATACGAGTAGTTTGGTAAATAGTGGTTGTTAAGCGAATTTAGAGAGCGACAAATTTATTTAATCTGCTTGTACAAATTATTAAAATATTGAGCATTTTCTAACCTTCTCTTATAGATATTCTCTGATAGATTAGAAAACAATAATATAATGAACAATTTTCATAATAATGAAGAAATTAATTTGTAGTGTATAATCATTGATATAATGTATATTAGTGCAATATATAATAGAACAATTAATTCTACCTATTTAATTGAGATCTGTAAAGACTTATGTAAAACCGTGTATCTTTATTAAAATAGTATTTGTCTGCTATCATTTATTTATAGTAAACGTTTAAGTGTAATGGTTTTACATTTTTACCTATAAGTACTCGTAATTAGGACTAAGGATAATATGGTTTTACATAAGTACGATGTATATTATTGTACAAAATATTATTTATATTGTGTTGTTTTATATATTTTTTTTAGTTTATGATCACATCCATAATAATGAACGATTTCTTATACCGCTTGTCAAACTATTATCAATATTATCAGCATGCCAGCTCTGAAAATTCTACATCACTAACATTCAGTTCTTATAATTATTTTGATGAACATATTAATTTAACACTACATCACAATTCTACGGTCAAAGACTTTATTCCTAAAATAAAATGGACGCCTCTCCTGAGTGTTAAGTATTTTTTAATTTTACTAATAATTGTTGCCATACAAATATTAGAATTATTATACTTGCATAAATCTGACAAAAACCCCATTTTATCTTATTTTTGTTTCACGTGAAATTATAAATTATTATAAGCAGGCTGTGAAATCAATAATTTTGTGAATTGATGAACAAATTCTATTTTGCATACTTCATTTTTTGATGTTACTATTGCATATTTAAGGAAAATTATGAATTTGGAAAAATTGAAATTGTTATAATACATAAATGCTGATATTTTAAGATGAAAATAAAAATATTAAATTTCTCTTGCATAATATAATGTATTTACAATTTTTTTTCGTCATTTCCATCCACAGAAATTTACGAAAATATAAACATGTACGATTTCAATATTTTGTGCACTATATTTATTCATTTCCAAGTCATATACAAGATTTACCAACCATACACACCCACACTTTTTCCTTTATTATATATTTTTGAAATTCTTATTTTTTTGAATTTTTAAATATACAGTTATACATATATTATATACCTTAAGACCATATTTTCAAATTTTTAAGTTTTATAGTGCTACTTAAGGCGTGTCCTATCTACTTCTGTTCTTCAAATGAGATCCCTACTTTTCTAATGTAAATTATTTAGTGGATATTTTTTTAATGGTTGATGTATATTTGTAATGGCGATAATCCATCAATATTATTTAGCCATTCAATTCATAGCCCTACTTATTAGCATATTTTAATCTAAATTTTCCCTCCAATTATGGTATAACGTTCAATAAATCAATCAATCGATAAGTACTAACCACGAGCTATACCGGTAAATTGAAATATTACAATTTACAGTTAAAATCGTGCCACGAGTGTCAACTGATATTACCTTATCTTAATTGATAATTAAATGTTTAAAGATATTAAATATTTATATTTATTTTATTTTATGATGTTTTGAATGATTATAGAAATTTTTATGGACTACATATTCATCATAAAATTGGCATGGGGTGTGATGGAATTCTATTTAAACATTAGCCTGAAACAATCAACATACACTGTAAGTATCAATAAATATTTCAATATATTGGTAATAATTAATAAATAATAGTTGTCTACATTGTGCATAAAATAATAACCGAAGAATATTACAATCAATAGGACATAATATTATATAATAGCACCTCAGATCATTATTCGAAAAATCCATAAAAACTCAAACTAACGTTTTGTTCATAAATTATATCATCATACTTAATTTCTGTTTTGTATTATTTATATTATTTTTTGAATAGAAAATTAGAAAACTTATAAAAATATAATCTACTTATCATATTTTTTATAAATGCCGATGATCAGGATAAACCAAATGTTTCAAAAATTGCATATAAGCCAGATTGTTAACAAAATACTAATGGAACTTTGTGGCGTACTTAGAAAATTTTCATGGAGGGGTCCAGCTAATTTTACAAACATATTTAAGAGGAGGGCCCCTCTATAAAGTATAAAGTATATATATACATTATACATATTTATATATTAGATGTTTAGATAGGTATTTATGGGGCCAGTGGGGAGGTCTGAACCCCATAGACCCCCTGTAAATACTCCACTTTCATATAAAAATTTTAAAAATTTTAAATACCTAGGTATTGTGACATTTGGAATCATCATTTTCAGTAAAATAATATATATAAAAAATAAAATTTAGTTGTAACTCAAATAATAATATCCTTGAGACCTTAAAGACTTAAAATTATAGTTCTTAATAATTTAAAATTGTAAAATTTAATCTCTAATTAAACATAATTATCATTGAATTGTTTTCCCAGGTTTCTCCAGAAAAGATTTATGCTTGGTTGGTGATTTATTATTCTAATTTATTCTCAGGAATAATTTTTCTAATCGTCAACAACTTCAATCCTTCGTATATTGGAGAATTCGAATATCTTATGGTTTGTACAATATTTATCGTTATGATTTAAATATATATTTTATCAGGAAAAAAATTATTCCCTAGATTCGTGAATGTTATATTTAGAAATATTTCCTTCATTTACAGATCATTATAGGTATGTTGTAGCCCGTAGGTAATTATCTCCAAAACTCTCATTGTCAATAAAATATGTTTAAAATGTATTAAGTTTATATTCCATTATATGTGTAATGTGTATAGGTACTGTAAACAACGCGCATCTACACATTATTAGATAGTAAATACTAAATAGTAAATAGTAAATACGTCATATAATATCGTTTCCTTTTGTATTTCAGTACCTCCTCCAAATAATAATTATTGTGGTCGAAATCTACATCGTGCAATCGTATTACAAACAACAGAAGTTGGCTGCCGTCAGTGATTTCGTTTACTTAAAATGGAAATATATACCAAAGTCTCAATCAGATGAAAATAGATCGGCGCTGAAAATAATATCAGAAAATCCGCTTGATCAAACAGATGACCAAACCGGTTACATTCCGATATTTGTGAGAGACTTGCGCCGCGCAAATTCTTAAAATTTCATAATCAAAATATATATTTGTTGCATATGCATTTCGTTAATCGTTACAGTCGCCTGACGGTTCGCGATGTAGAGCATACTAGGTATAGTTTTATTTAAGCCCGAAAATTGGGACCGCATAAAGAAAATTGTATGTGCCTACATAATAATATATTATTATTTATAACTACATAAATACTTTCACTATACAATATCTGCTTTTAAATTATATTATAATAAAATCATTTTGTAATTTTTCAATACGTAAGAAATTGTTAATTGTACAATAAAATAAACTACCTACATACATGTGAAAAGTGGTAATGCGTTCTAATTTCATAAATAATATTATAGTGATGGCAAACGCCATAAAGCCCTATACATTCATCTCACAATTACTTGTGTAGTTGTGTACCTAAGTACAACACATGTGATTATCAACAAAATATCGAAACCAATCGTAGACAATTATATAGATATTGGTAGTTGAGTAGTTCGATTTGGAATCGAATGTTATACGAGCAACTATAAATGCGTTTTTCAGTTTTTTATTCATGCAAACATTAGAATTTAAAACCACCGTGTAAAATATTAATTCAGTTTAACTGAATTTAATTTGATGACACAGTATAGAGTAATTACAGATAATATTAATATAACAAAAGAAAAACCATACCTATTTAATATACATTACATGGTGTGAACATATTATATAACATTATAATAACGAAAACAAATATGAACATTGTAGTTACCTAAGTAATTGGAAAAGAAAACGAGTTGTCAAAATTGAATACAGATTGTGACATAGGTACATACAATGGTGTAGTGGTACATTTAATTATTAATTAATAAATTGCAGGCACAGAAATCGCATTAGTTTAAAATTAAATTTTTTCTTAAAAGCAATATTTTGTAAACTTTGTATTTTTTAATGGTCGCATTTCCATTTAAAATAACTAACTATAATAGTAATAAAGTTATTAGCTACACAATTATATCATAATATTATGTCAAAGTTGAAAAAAATATAGCCCACATGGTTAAACAGGTTGCCAATACTTGATTCAAATTTCAAACCATAATTTTTTAGAAGGTAAAAAGCTATAAAGGAACTATAGTGTGTGTACACTGTACAAGTGTCGGAAAAAACAAGCAAGAACTTTAAAAGTGATTTTGTAAAGTAGACGCTAGAGTACTAGACAGTAGGTCGTATGTGAATCAATTCGCCCATGATGTACCAAATATAGTTTAACCAAAAAGTAAAGGTTAGTCGTTGAAGTTGTGTTATTGTAATTTTAAGATAATTATTTCATATAATTATTTGGGTTTACGTATGAAATTGCTTGACTAATATTTCCAACTCACTTTTAAACGTGATCATTTTTTTTATATTATATAAACAAAAAAGTTAAATCGATGGAAATTAAGTATTTTTACAAGAAAAGGGCTCACATAGAGATTTGTGGCCTCACGACAAACGAATATTTTTTTGTGTGGACTGCCAATGTTGCTGTTTCTTTGTCAGGTTGCCAGTACAGGTTACATAAAATAAAATAGTTATTAAAATATTGTACATAATTGTAGACCTGTATCTTATATTTGGTATAAACCACCCAAAATACTGTGGAATAAATTTGTGTAGTTAGTATACTTACCATTTTAACAGAGTTTAAAACAAGGCAAATCCACTGGCATCGTTTTATTTAATAAATTTAAAAAATACCGAAAACGCCGCGCGTGTAGGATCAGCTACCTATATAATTAATAAACAAAATATATATCTCATATATTAATATTTAAATCAAAGGCATATTATAACAAATGACCCTAATGAAAATCTACAGATTTTGACCGGTTTTTCATAAAATGTTGGTTGATATATTATATATTCAGCAAAATGTATATTTCATAGACTACATTTATTTACTTTCTTTTTAATTTTCACAGCACAGTATAAATTATATGTCACAAATGTTGAATAATTTAGTAATTGACCAACAAAAAACTACACTTTTTTGCTTATATACCTACTGCAGTTGCCATTGATCACAGAAAATAAAATAATAATTATGGATAATGATTAATGAATGCATATAATTTTTAACCTGTATTTCATATAAATTGGTCAAAACAACCCAAATATCTGCAGTATTAAATATCCGGCTGCTTACATAATTTAACGGAGTGTTAGAAGAGATAAATTCACGGTCATTTAATTTGTCACGGACAACGCCCTTCTGCAGGATTATGCAGCTAGTATATATTCAATATTGAAAATAAAAATAATCTAATCAAATTTTACGTCAAACATTGCGCTCTAAATATTATGACGTGTATTAGTGTATGGAGATAATATGAAAACCAATTGATATTGTATAATTTACAATTATACAAATTATTGTACACTTCATTTACAAACATGTTTAAATGTTGACTTATGTAAAGTTATGTTTATGGCTGGGAATGTAATGCACTATAAAACCCTAAAAAATGCCCTTAAAAAATGCTTTAATAACCTAAAAATATTAAATAATACACTAAAAAAATGCAGGTAAATTGTTATTATTTTTAATAGATTGTAAAATATGTGTGATAAAAAAAAAATTTTAATAATTTTTATATAGGCTAAACTTCAGGATTTCTTTGGGCTAAACTTCAACTTGGATTTCTTTTAATGTGAAAAAACAATTATTTCCTTATATTATTCTAACTATTTTGATAGATTTGGATTATAATATATTAATTTAACTATACACTCAAACTGTTACGCTGAATCACCAGAGATTGTTCAAGATTTTCTAATAAAAAAGATCTTCAGTTATATCCCTAAAAATATATTATAAATTTATATAAAGCTCCCGTCAGCTTGTAAAATCTTAAAATAAAATTTCAAGTTTGAATTTAGCACCCAAAAACTCGGATAATACCCTAAGAACCCTATAATCCCCTAAAAAATTAAGAAAATTAAGTTAAAATCAAAAATTGTCAAAAAATGCAAAATAAATTTTCTTATTCTCATTCAAAAGTACATGTTACGGATTTGTGACCAGGCAAACATCGTACGGAAACCTCTGTAAAAAATTAAAAGTGCATCGAAATCCCAGCCTTAGTTATGTCCGATACCTATATAATATAATTACAATTAATGTTATTAGAATTTTAGTTAATCTGGTTCCTGGTCTATAGAAAGTGTAAAATTAAGGTTAATTATTTTTAAAAAAATGTACCTAGGTATATACATATATACAAATATACTACCTTTATAACTTATAAGTACTAAGCTAGGCTATTTGTATTAATTTATTTATTTATTTATAACAATTTGTTAACTGTAATACGTATTACGTGATAATATGATTTCACCAATAACATTTATAACAGATGATGCAATAAATAAAATTATGAAGTGGACCTATTTATTGAAATTATAATATATATTTTAATAAATAACGAAGGTGGATACAATGTGTGACAGAATAACTTAAAAAACGTAATGACTTTTGTTCTAATCAAGCTTTTAATATAAATTATAGATTCACGCTTGCAATAATATACAAGTGCAGCATACATTTCATTAAATTTTTTTTTGTAGAAATTTAAAATAGCCAATTTGGAAAATATCTAATTTTAGAGTCTAAACTGAGCGATGAATGTATTGATTTTACAATGATGTGTTTTATTTTTATTATTTTTTATATATTTTTTTATTTTTTGTGTCGGTGTACACAATAAGTAACTAAATACGTACAAATCACTAAAATTCGAAAAAAATGTTGAGTTAAATTTATAAAACTTTAGATTCTGAGTGGAACAATGAATGTATTGATTTTACAATGTGTGTTTTTTCTTTTTAAATCTAAGGTTTGAAAATTTAATACAAGATTCCTCATAAGTTTGTATACCTTTACTTAAAAAAATTTGAACTGAAAAGTCGAAATACCATTTTTATTTTCAATAACGAATAACTGTAGATATTTGAAAATTTCACCGACTGATTATATTTTCATTTTCTATAAACCTTAAAATTTTAGAAATATTTTGACTCCTTCTTGAGCTCTTTACAGACATAGTCAGTTTTCGATTTTTTTAGTTTTTTTTTTCTATAATTTAATTATAGAAATAAATATTTATTTATTTAATACAAGGCTCTGATATATTGTTACAATAGTAGTTGAAAAATATTAAAAATACATAGGGACAATTTTTTTTATAAGCATTTAAAGTTTGAATTTTGACAAAATTCAAAATTTATCAAATTTAAAATTTAATAATTATTCTGTAGTTAAAAATTTAGAAAATATTAAACTTTTATATTTAAGGATTGAAAATTTAAAACAAGGTTCCACGTAAATAGGTTATATATAAATTACTTTATTCATAATAAGTAATAACATCATCAAATATTCTTAGTAATATCATAGACTGACTGACCGTCTTCGCTCAGAATCATTTTTCTTAAGCAATGATAGTATATCATTGAATTAAAATGTAATACCAATAATACCATCCGACTTGTAACTTTGCTGTACAGCAGAGCGACACTTGCCCACCTTTTTTTTAAATAATTTTTTCTAAAATATCAATATATTTTTGATGTAGGTACCTATCTAAATAATTAATTCGAAACGTAATAACTTTTTTCAAAATATTATTTTTGGGAATTTTCAGACATAAGTAAATCTTAAATTATTTATTATCCACATAATTTTCATAATTATTTTATTCAAATTTTATCAATTCATTTTTAATTCATTATTTGTCAAGTATTTTTGTTACACCCTGTACAATTTGGTTGCTAGTTAAAACTTGTATTATAACATACATTATAGTACACCTAATTAATTATTGTCTATCAGTTATGAATATATTTACACGTGTTTAAATTTAGGTGTAAATAAACTATATTATTATATAGGTAGTTATATTTGTTCTGATTAAATGAATGAAGGTTTATATTTGTTGCATATTCAATAAAATGTGTTATTGCTTAGGGTCTCATTGTTATCTTGTATC